GGTCTAGAAAGTAGATTGGTGTGGTCATTGTCCACCTATGCCGCAAGCTGGACCAAAGTCTGCCAGGACACAGTGCTCAAGAGAATGATGCCAAGAGGTTCCATTTTTCTAGCACCAAATATGTGTTAGGTACCAGAAGGATATTGGCTCACATTTATTAAGTGCTGAGCACTAGAACTGTTCTAAGCACTTCACAGATACTAACAACTTAGTGAGGGAGGTTCTTCTATTATCTCCAACATCCAGATGGAAAGGCTGTGTGAAGAGCAATCAAGCAACTCTTCTAAGGTAACATAAATTATAAGAACTTAGGTTCAAACTCATCTGATGAAGAGGTTGTACTATTCTGTATACAGAAAGGTCATGCAACCCCAAAACCACTCTTCAAGGAAGATGGTTTTAAGTTTACAAATGAACTGAGGAGGCTCAGAGGAGTTCAAAGACTCAGTCAAGAACATGTGGCAGTAGGAGGAAGGACAGGGCTCAGATCCTATTCTGTCCCACTGCAATGTTCTGATGTCCCAGTCACACTCAAGGCCAATCAACTCTGTGTTTTTGAAGTTCCACAGGTACATTAAATTGCGGTCAAGGTTGTGAACCACTGCTTGGAGCACAGTGCAAGTGTACTTTGAAAACAGGTTCAATTGCCCCGCCCATTTCAAAACTAACATGCCCCAACTGTGGGCAGTTGGTTTCCTTCCAAGGCACAACCCACTGTCCTGTTACATGCTGTTTGCCATTTACAGCTGACACCAGCTCCTGAGGCTCATTCAGACTATGGGAATACAGATCTCTCAAAGCCGGTGCAAGCCTGGCTGGGCCCCAGCAAATTTCTTCTTCACTTGCCTGTGCAAACTGTCCCATTTCCTTGGAATCCTGCCGCACATCGGCACGAGGCTGTGCCATCTGGATTGAGAAGGCAGCTGCATGGAGACGGACAAATGGTGTTTGTAGGAAAAAACCTCAATGCCTCACGAGAAAAAACCACATGACTCACGAGAACCCTCATCCCCAGCATCCTGGACCCTGCCCGCATGAGGCACTCTGAGGTCCTGCCTAAGGCTTGGGAGGAGAGTCCATCCCTGAAACAACTCCAACATAGTCCTTTACCAGGCAAAAATCACAGCTTTAATGCATCCCTTCAGAGGATGTATATACAGACATCGGTTCAGGAATAAGGAGGGGAGTTACTATTATACCAAGTAGATTGCTCTGAGAAGGCCTCCCTACTCATACACTTGAACTCTTGTAAACAAACCGCAGCCTCACTTGGGAATCTGCTTCCTTAAAAAATTGATGAGTCATAGCCAATCACAGCAGCCGTGCTCCAGTTAGCCACAGACACCGGGCCCTTAAACTGTCCACACCGGCAATCCTGTAGCCAGTCCAGCTGTTCCTCTACCTCCTTTCCTCTCACTTCCGTTTTCTTATGTCACTTCATTTTTTCCTGTCCATAAAAGTTATTGGACCACACAGCACCTTGGAGTTCCTTGGAAGCCATTTAGGGGGCTGCCCATGTCATGAAGTGTTTTCTGCTCAAACTCTGCTATGTTAGATTTGTCTAAGGTTTCTCTTTTAACACTACCAATCCTTAGAGTTATTGATGTACTAGGAGCAAAGCTTCGCATACACGACTTCATGTCATTTCCATAATATCCAACAGCCCTAGCAAGTAGGTGTTATTGTTATTATTCCATTTACAGATGAAGAGATATTTGGAGGGATTAAATAGTTAACTCAAAGATATGTAGTCAGTGACAATGACAGAGGCTGACTTTAAATTCAGGTCTAACTCCAGCTCCTGGGCATTCAATTCATTAAGCCACTCTGGGAGTTAGGAGGATGAAGCCAAATGAGGCTTAACTGTGAGCTAGAAGCAAGGTAGATTGCAACCGAAGGGCGCTGGGCTTCTTCGACCTCCATGAAAGAGCCCTGGTAGCTTGACTTGGGGCAACGACTGGCATCTTTGCCAATATGCTGGGTGTGTTAGGTGGCCACTTATTAAGGACGTTGGATTTGGCAAGTTGATGGGACAGAGGTAATTTAAGCTCCATACTTAAATTTATCCTAGATCCTCAGAAGCAGTGTCAAGAAACTCCTCCTCTGATAGGGACTGGAGTGGACACTATTGGGAAAGAATATCTTATATGTTGTTCCCAAAAGGAGCCTGGATGATACCTACTTGGCACTGGTGTGGCATGTCCCGTTGCAGTTGTCTTTTGTGATTGCTGAAAGAGAGAATCAATTGTATGAGCCCTCTTACAAATTCCCACTTGAGAACTTTCCTGTAGGACTAGAAAGACTAACTTGTTTGGAATATGAACTATGTCAAACCTTCCCCCAGAGTGCCAATTCCAGACTCAGAAATTTCATCTCTAGGAATGTAACCAAATGTATTAATAAGATAAACATGAAAAGATATGTTCATTGCAGCATTGTTTATGATAGTGGAAGACTGGTTCAGAGGTGTGGTATAGTACTATAATGAAATGTGATGTAGAAATTAAACTGAATAATGTATGCATTTTTATTCACATGGAAAGATCTCCATTGTATGTCATGGAGTGAAAAAGTAACATGTAGAGTGTAATTCTCTACGCATGTTTATGTACCTAGCAAAAGGTTAGAAGGCTAATACAAAATATCAATTGTTCTTTCCTGACTTGAGAGTATGAGTAATTTTGATTTTCTTTTACTACTTTTCTCCTTCTACAAGCTTTTCTCTGGAAGAAGGAATTATGCTGATTTCCAGAAGAAGTAATAAAGGTGTCTTTTCTATTTTAGAAAGAAAAGAAGTATAGCTGGTCAGAGGTGAGGCTAAGGGCAGACATAAGTACTGAAGGTCTTCTTACCACTGTCACATTTCACTCCGCGCCAGCCAACCTCACATTCACAGGAGCCATCCCCTGAGGGTCCTTGGTTGCATCTCCCATGGACACAAGGACACACTAAGTGGAAGAACACCCACAATCAGCAGATTCTGACCCACATCCAATAACTCATTTATTACTTACTGGATTTACTTCCTTGTACGTAGTTCTCCAACATGGGTTCAAGGGAATCACTGTCTTTAATGGAGGGCCAGATTCACAGGAAGGGCTAGGGCTCAGGACATAGAATCTAGCAAGTTAACAAGTGAACCATGGAACCAGAGCATTTATGTGAGTAGTTCAAATGCATAGCAGTACTTATAGGCTGAAATAAAATTTTAAATAAGACAAAACAAAGGCAAAAAAATGAGCAAACCATGTTATGCTTCAATCAAGCAGTACAGACCACAGTTTTGGGACTCGGCAACACCCTAAGTTTGCGACTCAAGAGGAGTAAGACTGTTCTTAGCCAAGGCTACTGGATAATCCTGGGTTATGTGGGTTACTCCTTAGGAGGGAATCATGTTTATTTCTTGAGAGAAGCCCATTGATGCTGGGTTATATATACCTGGTGTGGAGCAGCTTTCTTCAGTAGCATAGAACTAGTCACCCTTCTGTTTGATAGCAGAGCCATGGTCTCTATGAAAACTAGATGAGCACTGTGGATGTGTTCTCCAGAAAAAAAGCATTCGGCTTTGGGGGTCTGTTGGACCCCATAAAGGTAGATCCCAGGTTAGGAACTCCGCACAAATGTAAGCACATAATTCTTCCAAATCACATAGAAGAACATTGACACTATAATTATAATTATATGTGACATGGTCCAATCACAATGGTCCAATGATACATTGATTTTGTCTGACTTGGGAGAGTTGATGAGAAAACAGTGAGAACTAGCTCAAGATTTTAGAGCAATGCTTCCTTCCCTCAGTGTAGATTGGAAACCTCTCAAGTCAACCCCTCATAGGTGAGCATCCTGGGGTGCAAGAGAGTCAGGGTATGAGAATGCAGATGACTTAGTTCAAATAGATCATTATTTTTGCAAAAACAACTTAAAGCATGTGGCTTGTTGATGGTGAATCAATAGCATGATCTTTTCACAAAGCACAGCATGACAGAAGAGCAAGCCGTTGAAGCTCAGCAAGGGGTGCAGCCAGGTCTCAGGTCTGCCTTTCCTCAGTGCAACCTTGGGAAAAGCTACCACACTTTTTGCTTTAATGTCCTTATCTGTCAAGTGGGCATAGCTTGGTTCCCATGAGATTAAATAATCCGTGTGAATTTGCTGTTCAGATATCCAGCAAATCTACAATGGAAAGCTGAACTATGGTGATCGGTGTGCACAGGCAAATACAGAAATGTGGTTGGGTTGAGGTGGGTTGGTAGGTCCCTGTTAGTGACTGAAAACGTCCGGAAACACTGTCCTATACAGATGACACAACACAGACGTTCTACTGTAATTCACTGTGATAATAGCAGGTGAGATTCCAGCCTGCCTGGAGAGAGGCTGGGGAAGGAGCACTTGGTGGATCACTCCTTTCTCCACAGTCCTAGGTCTGCCCTCCAGGAACCTGCTGGGTGGGGAGGTGAGTGCATACCTTGGTCGCAGTGGGCACCGTACTTGCCCTCTGTGCAGGTCTCACAGGCCGTGCCGCTGAAGCCCTCCCCACACTCACACACGCCCGTGCCATTCAAGCCATCCAGGCAGATCCCATTCCCGAAGCAGACGTCCTGGGCTTTCCCTGGGCAGGGCTGGCACTGGAGACCAAAGAAGCCGGCACAGCACTCTCTCGTCTGAAATGGAAGAACAAGTCTGGACACGCACTTCTGTCTTCTGCTGCTGTCCAGGCTCAGTGTGGACATCCTGGTGGTGGGACGTGGTATGCGTCTGTTTCTTTGGCCCCAGGGGTTGTAAAGGATGGGGGCAGAACCCCTGAGATTTGGGTTAGGATCCACAATTTCTAGGGGTGCTAGAATAGGACTGAGGTGTCCACTAAGGAGGTGGGAAAGAGGGAAAGAAAAAAGGCAAGCAAGAGAAAGATGGAGAAAAATGAGAACGGGCATCAGGAACAAACTAAATAGTGAAATGGTGCTGGACAATGGGAGGACCAAGAAATCCTCATTGCCCAAACCCAGGCTCCTTTGCGCTGAATATTGTTATCTACTATAAACATGGGAGGCCTCTTCCAGGAGGCCTTTGGTATTCTATTAAGGAATTTCTTGTAGCTCAGGGAATCCCTATGGGATATCTGTTTGGTTTTGGCATGACTTTATTCTTGAATGCATTAAAATACAATAACTCCTCCAGCCCTAAGTTCTCAGCTTATGGGCCAAGCCATCCCACCTGCTGAAATAGGAAGAGGATAAGTCTAGTCCTCTGGAAAGGAAGCAGGACAAGAAGTCATGAAGAATTTTCCTGCAAAACCAAAGAAACGCCCAGAGGTACTTAGCTTTGGGGTCCTATTTTCTAAATGACCAGGTGCACCTTATCATTGTGCACCAAGTGACTTCCTCTGTTGTTTTTGTTTACAGGTGCACATGCTTTCAGAGCCACCTTGTTATGAGAACAGATGGATATCTTAGCCTCTCAGTCTCTTAATTTCTTTTTCATGCAATTTAATATTACAGCTTTCAGAAGACAAATGTACAATGAATGTAGTTATAGGTCTAATCGACTTTTTACTATTCATGAATGGGGCAACCTTCGTCTTACAAAATGGAATGAGAACTGCCGCTGGGCAATAACAGAACAGTGGATTTTTAAAGGTGGGGACAGGGAAACAACAGGAAAACAGCTGCTTGGTTAATAGTTGTTTACTTTTATGGAAGAGTTAAAGCAGAAGTGACTTCTCAATGACACTGACTCAGGAGAATGGAGTCCTCTGTTTTCAGAAAAACTGGTCTGTTTTGGGATCTATCAGCTCCCTTAAAGATTCGGTTTGATTACGTGGTATTGATCATGAGCAACTCCATTTTGGTCTGCTCTGATCTGCTGATGCCTGGTGCAGGAACTCAGTCTAAAGCACTGACCTCCCATCTTTTAAATTTAACACAGTTTTACTAATTTTCTGACTTGCTTCTGTATTTTTCTAGTATCAGTACTACTTTGAAAGACAATGATAATGAAAATAATAAGAGGAAATAGATAAATACGTGTAAGGCATTTCGGAGAAGTATAGCATATCCCGAAGTTGTTGCAGTAGTTAGGATGGTGATTAAATCATTATACTCACAATGACACTTTTCACACATTTTGACTGGCATCCAATGACCACAGATCGCATTCCCATGAAATAAGTGGTATAGATACATTTCCTTGTCTCATTACCCTATGAAGTAATAAGGATGGTGTTAGCTTCTTACTTAGGAAAAAAATTTCCAGTCTCTAACAGCAAGTAGGTGAGTGATGCATTGCTTTCTCTCTCTCTCACTGGAACATTCTGGAAAGGGAGAGTGGTGTCTACCTAATGCTGCTACATAAGCAATAAAAACAAAACACGATGTTGGCTGCCAGAATGCCAGGTGCCAAAATTGAAATAGTTATACTTTAAAGTAGCACTTCATAAAAAGGACTTTTCTCCAGAAGGCTAACTCAAGTTCAGAAGAATGGTAGAGTAAAGCAGAGAAAAATGTCCTTCCAGTACTGTGTATTGATGGATCTGTACCTTGGTTTCTAATTATTTTTTGGTTTATATTCTGCCTTGGTGTGAGAAAGGATTAAAGCTACTTTTAATGATCTATCTTATCATATTAAAATAAAATGAAGTAGAAGAATCAGTATGTTATTATAATAAGTAAAGTCATCATACTATGGAAAGTGCATGAGTATTTACTCTTAGTAACAGCTATTATCAGAAATAGATTTCACGATAAATAGCTATAAGCAACATAGATTGGTAATTAATTCAAAGACATTACTATCTTCCCTATATCTACTGTTTCTTTAAAAAAAAGTTGTAGACCCAGCCACTATGGCCTGGGTGGTAGGGTGACACCATGCAATACTGGACATATGGATTAAGGCCTGGTATTTGGATCCTGGGTTGACCCTAACATGCTGGCTATACCCATGATCCTGGCTGGCTGGAAGATTGGGGAGGACTGTGGCATGGCAAGAGCTTGTCAAGGGTACCTGTCTCTCTCTCTGTCATGGGAAAATAAATAAATAAAATAAACTTAAAAAAAAAAGTTAGTTTTAACTGCAACTATGAAAGGAAGTCAAGCAGCTAGAATGTAGCCAGGCTGAATGTGATTTTAGATGTAGATTGGCCTTCCCTGATAAAACTTCTTGCTATTGACTTTATCTAGCTATTGGGATATGAAAGATATGGAAAGTAAAAAAGCCCTTTCTGCATTACATGCTGAATTATATGAGCCTATTTCTACTTATTTAAATTTAAATAAGTAGAATAAATTTAAATTTAATTAAATTTTATTTTCTCCCCACCAAAATGGATTTAAGATTTGACAATTGATTACTATCACAAAATAACATTAATGGCCAGCAGATGGCATGGCTGTTAATGTGCTGGACACGAGGTTCTGGACTCCCACATGACTGACTGGTTCGAGTCCTGGACCTGACAGCTTACTTTCTCACATTCTCTTTAGCTCTCTCTGTCTCTCTTCTGAATGCACATGCTCCATAGTAAATGTAAATAATAATAATAATAACAATAATAATAAACAACACAATTAAATAAATAATTCTTAAAAAATAAAATAAAGTTAAAACAAAGTAAACAAATGGGGCCAGTGAAAATGAGATACGCTTGAGATTCATTTACCAATTTGGACTTCCTGAGATCTAGAAATGATTTTATCAAAGTAGACAAAATACTTACTAGTGGTTTAGTTCCGATTGGGCAGGTTGACTTCAGGGAACAATCGACACACTTTCCCTTGATAAAACACAGAGGTAAAGGGGACATTTCAAGGTTATTAATTTTAGTGCAAAGTGAGGCTGCAAATATTTTCTGGAGCTTAGAGCTGAAAGTTTTAGAATATAGAATTAAAAACAAGAAATGCTCATCTGGTCAACCTTTTTAATCGTCTTTGAAACAAACACTTCAATGACTTTGGGTATTGCATGTTTAAGTATAGCTTTTCTCTACATTACTCGTCAGAATCCAATAATTCTTTAAAACATGGAGGTCTTAGCTCATTTAAATGCTGGTTATATCAGATTCAGAGACTAACCATATATTACATGATGGTGCCCACCCTTGGGAACACACAGTTGGGCTGTATGGGACAGAAAGGAGCTGCTCCACAGAGAGGATTCATGCTGATACAAAGCAAAGAGCTAAAGTTAAGAATGACAAAAACTCTTAAGTGCAACCCATTTATAAAACAAGGCCATTGAGATTCATTTTCTAATTTGGATTTCCTGCAATTGCTTTCTTTCCTGAACCTCTCATTCTAAACTTGGTACCTACTAGACATTATAGTGTTCTTGTTCAGAGGTTCAACTCTGGGGCCACATAGCCTGTATTTGAATCTCTTTGCTGCTTGTTAATGTGTGAACCTGGGTGTATTAATTCATTTTTCTGCAGCTTATTTTTCCCATTTGTAAAATGAGGGGGCAGGAATAGCACGTACTTTGTAGGGTATTGTGAGGATCAACTAGGTTAATACATGTAAAAAAATTTAGAGCAATGACTAGCATATCTTAAGTGCTCAATATCAGCAGGCATTATTATTACAGAAAGATCTTACATGGACTAGAGTGAAAAGCCTCCATTATCTCATGCTGTATGACACTGAAATAATCCATTTCTGTTTTTTACCTTCTACTAGACCACTTCTAGCCCAAACTTGCCATATATGCATTGTAGTTCCCTCCATGTGCTTATACTAGGTACGGCACATTTTCCCTTACTATGAAAACAGTGACTTGAGAATCCTGCT